CCAGCATAGTAGATCATATGGTTGTCTGATTCAAAATGGCCAAAACCAGTCCATTTCAGCTCAGTAAAGCCTAGATATTGATCTTTATGTGTTCCATTTCATTTTTTACAACTTCCAATTTTCCTAGATTCATGCTTCATACAGTCCATGTTTCAATTATTAATGGATGTTTGCATTCTTCTCATTTTGTTTCATTTTTGTCTCATTCTTCTCATTTTGAGTCATTTTTTCTCATTTTGAGTTGTGCCACATCAGCAAATGGAGGTCCCCAAAACTTTACTCTATCCAAATCATTAAGGTCGGTTCTACTCTGAGGAGTCAGCTTTTCCCCAGTCATATTTTGAGTGCCTTCCGACTTGATGGGCTCATCTTCCAGCACTATACTGGATAATGTTTCAGGACTATTCATAAAGTTTTCCAATAATATATCAGACAGTGTTTCACTGCTATTAAAAATGTTTTCACTGGCCAACTGTTTGCAATGTGGATGGCCTCTTCATTCTTCTGAGTCTGTCTTACTCTGGAAGCTCTCCTGAAATGTGTCCACCATGGGTAACCCTACTGGTATTTGCAACACTAGTGGCATAACCTCCAGCCTCAGAGCAACATGTGAGCCACCTAAGGATGACAAATTGACAGACAACTTCATCTCCTTTAGTTGTTCCTAACCACTCTGCTCACTTCCTGGCCACTCTTAAACTACCCCAAATCACACGGGGCCACCTTCTAGGCTACCCGTCCTTTAAGCTTGCCCCAAACCAAGTGGGGCCAGTACATACTAGATACTGGCAAAAGAAAGAAGAATGAGAAACAGTTGTCATCCTTAAGAGCCTACAGTCTGGGATGTGAGAATATTAGCATACTTTTTCTTTTTTCCATGACTTCAATTTTCTGTGTGGTTTTGGTGAGAGTTTACAGAGCAAACTGATTTTTCACTCAAGAGTTCATACACATTTTGCTTTGTGACATTCATAGCAATCCCCCTATTGTAACAGCACTCTTACCACCTGCTCCATTAGTTTCCCATTTCCCTTCTTTCCTATTCCTTCCTGCCTTCTGAGCTTTATCCCTGGGCAAATGCTGCCCTTTTGAGCTCAGATGGTTGATTATTCTAATGAGTGCACACCTTCCTAGTATTATCATTCACCTTATTGGCCTATCTATCCTTTGGCTAAAAATTGAGCCATGAGGGTCCAGTTTAATTCCCAGTTTGAAGGGTGTCCAAGCCTGGTCTTTTTCTTATGATTTTGAGTTTTTTTCCTCACTGTTCTTCCACTCTATCCTGGATGCCTATTGTGATCCCTTTCAGAGGTCAGCAGTGGCAGTCAGGCACCCTGTAGTTCTTCTGGTGTTAAGGTCGTGGAGTCTGGGGTTCAGAGGAACCATTTGTGGTGGTTATGTTTGTGTGTCAACTAGGCTGGGCCTGGTTGAGTGGCTGGGCAACTGGTGGTAGTTATTCTCCATGATGAGACTGGCAATCAACTCCATGGTGGGCTCTACCACAAGCAGCTAAGTATCTGCCTTAGGGAATGTGGTCTGCTTCCTGTATATAAGCAGAAGCCTTGGGGAATGGTCTCTAGCCTATGGCATGCTTGGACCCTGAATGTAGCCATGTCATTGTTCAGCGGCCTGCCATGCTCTGCCAACCTTAGGACTTACAATGGACTTAAATTAATTGCCTGCTGTGGTTTGGTAATATCAGGACTGTGCCATTTTATTTGTCAACTTCTCAGCAGCCAGCAGCTGTCTGAGTGAAGAAACGCCTCTAGCTTCAGTGGGCCAGGAGCTGAAGGCAGAGCTGAAGCCCAAGGCTGAGGGGCTTTCACCCAACCCCTAGAGCCTGGCACTTTGAACTTGGACCTAAAGCCTCCAAATTGTAAGAATAAACTCCTGTTCGTTAAGGCCATCCCATTTGTGGTATATTCCTGTCAGAGCAGCACTAGGGAACCAGAACACCATTAGTCCTTTGGATTAATTATTTCCTTCTGTCTTTGATTTTCTTCACTCTTCTTTGCTCCAGACAGGGAGAGGCCAATAGTTGCATCTTAGATGGCAGCTCACAAACTTTTAAGACCCCAGTTGCTATTCATCAGAGTTGTTGTTGTTGTTATGTGCCATGGAGTTGGACCTGACTCATGGCGACCCCTCCTTGGGTTTCCCAGGCAGTATCAATATGGAAGTAGATTGCCCAGCCTTCCTTCCGAGGAGTGGCTGGTGGGTTTGAACTACCAGCCTTCTGGTTAGCAGTCAAGTGCCTTGGGCACCATGCTACCAGAGCTCCTGTAGGATGTAGAATATTGCTTTTGTGGACTATGTTATGCCAGTTGACCTTAGAGTCCTCCAAGACTATTGTCCTGAGCCCCTACGCCCAGTGACTCACCCCCTCAACATGTTTTGTTATTATTAAAAGGTTTTCATACTTTTCCCCACATATGCTCTACATTTGTGGATATATTTCTAGCACACATAAATACATAGGAGAGATATCCTCTGTCAAACCTATATATATTTGTGGGTGTGGTCCCATTTGCTTTTCCACTCCTGTTCAGCTTGTGTCTATCTATGGATCCATTCATAGATTATTGTTATTACTGGTATTGCAGGATTGTGTATGTAACAATATTCACCTTTGTTGCCATTAGCTATTGTCTGTCTCCCCGCACCAGACTATGTGATTTTTATATGACATGGACAGTGTATCCCTTCTTCTGTTTCTTCCATGATGCCAAGTCAATATTAAATATCAAAGCAAAAACAACACCAGGAACATCTCATTCCAAATTACTGGCCAATTTCCTCCAGCTTAGCTAATGATTTTTCATGACCTAATAATGATGCATCCCAGGAATTATGATTCTAACACATTGAGGTCATAGTTTCCATTAAAAAATTATTTCTGATGAAGGTTTTCTGCTGATTTTCTTATATAAGCAAAGAGTAATGTTTGAATATAGTTTTTCAACCAGCTTTCCCCCCCGGATATGTGACAAATTAATAAGATGGCAAAATTAGGCCAAAACTTAGCCATCAAGAACATTCTTTCCACTCTCCTACTCACATCTTATAAATAAAGACCCTAAACTATTTTCTTCAATGCTAATCCACTTTGAAATGCAGTAACTAGATAAATAGGTCTCTTTCTTTCTTTGTCTTTATTTACAAAACCAGTATGTTGGGCTCAATCTCTGAAGTGTCTTTCAGTTATTTTCTATGAATTCCCACTTAGCCCCTCCTTCCTTCAGGCAAGAATGCCTGCCACCATTATAGACAGCCAGCAGCTTGCCATCTTCGTGGAATGGGTGTGTAGACTAAGCCTTGGGCCCCTTAATTCTAGATGAATGGCTATCAGAAGAAGATCAAAGATGCTACTGAAAAACTGATGGCTCTTGTTGCCGAGCTATCCATGAAACAAGCTCTGGCCATTGAACTCCAAAAAGAACTCAGGGAGAAGGAAGACTTCGTCTATTCTTGCAATTCCAGGATGGAAAAGGGTCTGCCACTCAATAGAGAGATTGAGAGAGAATGGTTAAAGGTACTTCGAGATGAAGAAATGTATGCGTTGGCCATCGCTGAGAAGTCTCGGGTAAGTTTTGGCTCCTATGTTTCATTCATCAGCTGTGCCAGGAAAGGTTGTTTTCAGAGTGTCAGTCATCCAAAAATATATGAAAATTTTCCATTCAACCACACATAGTCCCCGCAGTCATTGGAAGGAAGTTTGTGTTTTTGAAGATATTATGGAGATAAATTAAAGTACAGTAGTTTAAAGTGCTGCAGTATTCCCTGGAGAATGGTTGTCCAGCACCAAGTCTCATCCCACAGGCCTACAACCCGGGCTAATGTGGCATAACCATGGCCTCCCACTGGCATGACAAAGCTTATGAGTCTCTAATCTCTGTCCTTGCACCCCTGCCTGGACCACACCTGATTCTGCCACATCCATCTGCTGTGGCCTCCACAGCATATTATGAGACCTCCAGTCATATTATGGTTTCTACCTCCTGCAGATACTGCACTTGGGCTCTACCATAGACCTCAATGCCATGCCTTTTTTCTCTTGCCACTACCCTAATTTAGGTCTATCTATTGACTCTACTCTCAAGATGGGTTCCCCTTCTTCTGCCTAGCTCCATGACCTTTTAATATGCCTAGAATAAAACTGGGCATCTCTTTCCAAGGAGACCACATCCTGTCCTATACAACTCACCCTTAGACTGTCAAGTAGAAGTCCCCAAAGGGACAACTTTTTACTTCCTAGCCCAAGAACATAATGCATTTCAGACGCACCCTTAGAATCCCTGACAATAGGGTCTGGTTTGCAGTTCTCCCATTGCCTGGTCTACGCTTTTCAGAGCATTCATATTTTACCTATGGCATCCTGGCTGTCATTCCCCTGGCTCCATTCTCTAGAGTTCTTTTTAGTATCATAAGGATTACTCTTTCCCAGCAGCACGGTCATAACCTTAAGAACCTTGAGGTTCAAAGAAAGCTGCTGACCACTTCTCTTCTCTGGTTTCATTTTGTTCCTTACCTTTTCCTTTATAACATTTGCTCACAAATGACTTAGCAAATACATTGTCCTCCTTTTTCTAAAACATGGAAATAGTTCATAGAAATATTAGTGTTAGATGAAAGATACTAAGAATGGAATATAGTCAATATAGCACCCACCAAGCAATTTTCGAAAAACCTTAAGCCCCAGGCACAGTATGGTGCTTAAGCAACAGCCCATTCCAGTAAGGTGCAACATGAGTATATGTGCATGTACGTGTCCTCCCATCCTCACTTCCATTCTGAGGGTATCAGCTTGAGGTTGACCAGGCCCAGCTGGGTTGTTTATGGGCCCCAAGAATGAAGTGACTTCACCAAAGTTTTCAGAAAACTGAAAAGGAAAATTCATTCTTTGCAGGAGTTCTTGGAAACAGACAGTCGCCAGCTGCCCAGTGGTGTTTACACAACTGCGGAGCAGCGTCCCACTGCCTACATCCCAGAAGCAGATGCTACTCTGCCTTTGCCAAAGCCATATGGTGCCTTGGCTCCTTTTAAACCCAGTGAACCTGGGGCCAACATGAGGCACATTAGGAAGCCTGTTATAAAGCCAATTGAAATCTGATTACATGCCCCAACCCAAGTTTCCCAAGGAGAGCCCTTAGACCAGGCTTCCTCACACCCACAACTGGAAGATGTGAGCATGATAATCCTGAATTACAGACAAATAAGATACACACAGTTCATCAAGAACGGAGCACAACATGGCTTCCATTACACCCACCAACTACTTTATTTTGCATTGATGTTGAGTAGGATATAGAATTGTCCTACAGTTATGTCAAAGTATATATTTGAATTGCTTCTTTCTTTTTCGCTCTATGTAGTACTTTTCAGAACTATATAGTAGGCAAGGTGCTATAAAAATGTAGTGAAAATAAATAATTTTCAGTGAGGTACAGAAATTGGCAGAGTGGTCTTTATTTTTAAATAATAATAATAAATTGTCTATCATATTCAGTATAAAGTAAAAAAAGAGAGTGATTGTTTGAAAAGAAAAATATCCCAAGTGCTGCAGAAGCTTAGCTCACTTTGTGAAATAAGAAGTTGCATGGAGATAATGCTGATAAGTCTAAATCATATAAAAAGCAGTAGTGAAGCTTGTCATTTTTATAGTAATGTTATGTGATTCTTCTTCAAAGGAATCCTTTTGCTACAAAGATAATTAAGCCCTAATTTATCTCCCTGACAAGTCCAGATCACAAATAAACTCATGAGAATTGATACCAGATTTTTCAAAATCTCAGTAGAAGTATTTATAACTTGGCATGTGTAAGAGTTGAAGATGAGGCTAGTTCCACTTATTTCATTGGTCTATTTTTGTTGTATTTCATGTACGTTTATTTTCCTAATTCTGTTTTTATATTTTCTCATGTATGAAAACAGACAAGTGGATTTGAAGCCTGTGATTTGACATTCACTAATATTCTGAAGCTATCTTTATTTCATATTGGTAGCAGTGATGAATTTTATTATACAACTCTGGGACTGAAAAACACCATAATCTTTTATTTGGCTAAATCAAACCAGATCTGCTCTGAGTTCTCATCCTGCCAGATTGAAGGGAAATTGAATCTCATTCTCAGTCTATGAGTCCTGAATGTGATTGCTTTGTGAAGTCATTGTAAAGCAATTACTTGGGAATATCATGGTGTAAATGATTAACCTACTCAGTTGCCAATGGAAAGGTTACAGGTTCAAGTCCACTTAAAGGCACACCAAAGGAAAGACTTGGTGATCAGTTTCCAAAAAATTAGCCACTGAAAACCCCATGCCACACAGTTCTACTCTGCCACTTATAGGGTTCCCATGAGTCTGAATTGGCTTGAATCTACTAGTACTGTTAGTAAACCGTGTATTGCTAATTAAAGCCAATTGCAACAAGGACCTCCTTGTGAGTAAGGAATATTTTGAAAAGTATCAAGGGAAAGAATCATCATTGCCTTGCTGATGTGCTCTAAGATTTTGAGCTTCAGTAACTATGAGGTATTTTATCAAAAAGGTTAATTCTGTAGGAGAGGATACCTTCTAGAACATGATGATTTTGGAGAAGTCAAATTATTATACCAGTTAATATTTATAATCATTAAAATTTCACAAGTTCACCAAAGGAAACATGTGGCAAGAGAAAAGCAAGGGATTATGTGCTGACCCCAGGCAGCAACTGTATTTGTAGGTCAGAATGAAGTCACCGTACAAGAGAGAAAACAAAAAGAAAATTAGATGTCATGGGGCTTATGTTCATGATTCCTCTCGATTCCTGGCTGGAATAAAAGGGCTGTATTCAAGAAAAGGAAGAATCAACCCAAAACTTTCAGTGTTGTTTTTAATGACAAGATATTACTAAATCAAACTTGCATAAATATTTTCAAAAACTTAAAAAAATTAAATACAGTTCCATCTGAACCATCACAAGGGCAAATTATACTCTAAATATTGTATGTACAAACTACTATATGTTACAAATTATTCTATACTGGAGATAAGAGATTTCATTTACTCCAAATTCCATTTTTTAAGTCTCTTCTATCCAAATAAGAGTTTTTATGTAGCATTTATTTTTTTCTATTTATTATATGTTATTTACAAAGATATTTCTAGTTTTCATTTTTCTAAGGACCGTTCTCTACATTTTTAAAGCATTACTTTTTTTTTTCCCCCAGAGTGCAAAGGAACTAGTTTGGGGTCTATTAAGCCACTACAAAAATAATGCTCAGAAAAGTATCATTTATGCCATTTTATGCCTTTTTGGACTGTTAATCATTTCTTTATACTTGACTGCTTACCTGATGTTTAAAATTGGGATGAGGGACAATAGTTAGGCTCTATCTAAACAAGTATCAAGTTGCAGTTCAGATGACTCAAGAATACATTCTGATTTTGTTCAACAATTTAAAATATTGCGAAAATTAGATTAAAATACTGGAAGGTGATTTATTTGCAGTTGCTCTTTCATAAGCCTAAAAGCATTGTGGTGTGTTTCAGGGCTGCTTCCCCTACAAATTTTGCATCCACATTGTCATGTCCTTCAAAAGCATAGAGAGCTGAAAAAAAAGGAAAAGAGTTAGCATGGAACACAGATCTTTGTGCCCTCAACTGCAGCCGACAATCTACGTTGCTTATATTATAAAATAATAATGTTGTTATTGTTGTATAATAACAAACATTAAACCTCAGCACCAAGAAAGGGCGTTCACATCAACCAAACTTCAGTCTGGTGATTATACTTTTAGTAATTTACTCTAGGTAGTAAACTGTGTATTGTTAATTCAAGCCAATTGCAATAAGGGCCTACTTTTAAGTAACGAGTACAGTCAGTTTTTTGGAAAGAAAAAGTACACAGATATGCATGGGGAATGACTGATGTGTCAAGAAAAGCAGGGAAACCCTGAGGACCCAGTTACCTTGATTGGAGGACTCTATATCTGTCAGTATGTTAATGAAGTAGTTCAGAGGCAGAAATTCTACACTGAATGATGACTTGTCAACCATGGAATTCCGAGGCTAAAAGGGAAACCACTCTGGCATCAGTTGATTTTCCCAAACAAGCACACACTTAAATAAGGTGATCACTACAATTGCTATTCATCTGGATATGTGCAATTTGCAAATAGGATCCAAAACACATGTAGTGTGGGTGTGTTTCCACACACACTCACCTGTTTCTTATAGTTCTGAAGCAATTGTTTCACATGGTTCCGTGAAATAATACTGGAACTCATAGGATGATCCCAAAGACGACTGATCTTCTGACCAATAAGCTATGATGCAAATTGAAAAATACACAAAGGAGAACATATAACATACTACATTAAATGCATTTATTTTATTTCTACTCATAATTTTAAAAATATTATTCCAAAGTATCTACTTAGCATAAAAGACAGGCACTTTAGGGTTCATAGACTTTTGGAGAAAGGCCATGTTTCTATGAGATATTCTTCTGAATTGTGAATAAATACTCCCTCAAATGCTACCCTGAGGAAGTCAGTTTATACACGATGATGCCAAATTCTTCTCTGAAATGGAATTTCTCTGCTACTCTTCAAGAGTGGGGATTTGCATGCCAGCCCTAATTGATGTTTTAACAGGAAAAAGGTTGTAGGCATATTTTTTCAACTTCTCTGCCAGCACCTTGCCCAGAAAACTTTAATTCTCTTAGACTACAAGACAAAAGATCAAATCTGGAGACAAAATCAAGTGTTTAAAGCAATTCCCCAGAGAGATCTAGCCAGAAAATATGCTTTGTTTTCTATTCTTGCCTTGCTTCAGTAAACCACCGATGGGAGGGGCTGGTACAAAGCAAGCCCATTAGATTCAGAAAGGCAACAGACATCTCCTCGTGGGAGGACTTTTTTTTTGGGAAGGATCTTGCCAGAAGGACAAGGGCTCAAGGTATGTAAACAGTGAAGCTGGTCAAGGCTCTTAGGGTCAGGAAGTTCACGGACTCAGAGGTTCTGTAGACCTTGCCCTGGAATTTCATATTTTCATAGTATTTCTGACTAAGAGAGCTAAGATTCCTCCATAAAAATAAGGAGTGCCTTTGTAACACTTTCTTTCATTTCTCTCATTCTTTCTTCCACCTGGGAATGTTTTCCTGCTCTGGTAGAAACCACCATAGGAGGAAATACAGTTCCTGAACCTTCTGACCTTACCTGTATTTAAATTTCTTATCAGTTTAAATGCCAAAAGCACGTTTCCCCTCACACGTACAGCTGTAAATATTAGTACGGTTTCCTAAGAGGAGAAAACTTCCAAATACCCCAGGTGGCTGTGTCGAGGCAATACAAAGCCAATGGAGCAGAGCATTTTGCAGGCCCAGGGGGGAGCAGCAGACGGGTGGAGATGGGTGGGCTTTCTTGGTAAGGACTGAAAAGTGAAATAATTCAATTGACTTTAGCTCAAAGGAAGTACATGCTCTTCTTACAATAAGTAATTAAAAGAGGCCCATCTCAAGGCTTAGGGAAACAATAAAGTAGAATTCAGGATTACCGGAGGAAGCCGCACAATGATGCTAAATTTTAGTTTCTCATTCTTCTCTGTATTGTCCAGATCTAACAGAAAGTCAGAGATTGGCAATCAAAACAAATTTCCTTTTTAATACCTTAAAAAACAAACAAACAAACCTCATTGCCATTGAGTAGATTCCGACTCATAGAGACTCCTCCTTGGATTTCTGAGGCGGTATCTCTACGGAGGTAGATTGCCCAGTCTTCCTTGCAAGGAGTGGCTGGTGGGTTTGAACCACCAGCCTTCTGGTTAGCAGTCAGATGGCTCAGGCACTACGACACCAGAGCTCCCTTAGCAAGTTAATAATACTTCAGTGGTTCATACTGATGCTACATATACCAACCTTGTATTCTCAAGCTAAAATATAACAATATGTTGGAAATTTTTGTTTTTATTTCTCTGAATGAACAGGGATTTTTAATGAACATTCTTATGTAACATGGTCCCAGTCACAAAGCAATTGTATTGGATAACTTAAAACAAAAGGCATTTTAAGGAATGGTAATGCTTTACTGCTATAAACAAAACTCATCTATAAAATACCACAAATGAATAATTTAAGTGAGAGTAATTACACTACAAAAAAAAAAAAAAAAAACTCATTGTGATTGAGTTGGACCCGACTAATAGTGACCCCTCCTTGGGTTTCCAAGGCCATATCACTATGGAAGTAGATTGCCCAACCTTCCTTTTGAGGAGTGGCTGGTGGGTCTGAACCACAAGCCTTCTGGTTAGCAGTCAAATGCCTTAGGCACTATGCCCAGCGCTCCCAATTACATACAGCCCTTATTTAAAGTTCAAATTCATATAAACACTGCATCTCTCAATTTTTCTTGCCTTTGAAATAATAGAATTAATCAGTTGAAAATAAGCCATCTCACTGACACTTTCCTGAGGAACAAGCCTACAGTCCCCTAGCCTCAAGTGCCCTTGTGGTGGTTATATTTGTGTGTCAACTTGGCTGGGCCTGGTTGAGTGGCTGGGCAGCTGAATGTGATTATTCCCCAGGGTGTGATTGGTAATTAACTCCATGGCGGAATCTATTAGAGCAGCTGAGTAGCTGCTTTGGCTATGTGGTCTGCTTCTCATATATAAGAAACAGCTTTGGGAATGCTCTCTAGCTTATGGCACACTTGAACCCTGCATGTAGCCATGCCATTGTTCAACAGCCTGCCATGCTCTCCCAACCTTGGGACTTTCAATGGACTTGAATTAATGGCCTGTCATGTGGTTTGGAAACATCAGGACTGTGCCATTTTGTCTACTGTGGGCTTGTAAGGCTCAGCAGCCAGTAGCTGCTTGAGTGAAGAGATGCCTCTAGCTTCAGTGGGCCGGGAGCAAGAGGCAAAGCTGAAGCCCAAGGTTGAGGGGCTTTCACACAGCCCCTTAAAGCCTGGCATTTTGAACTTGGACTTCTAGCCTCCTGAACTGTAAGAGAATGAACTCCTGTTTGTTCAAGCCATCCATTTGTGGTATATTCCTGTCAGAGTAGCACTAGGTAACCAGAACAGCCCTCATGTTCAAAAAAGGAAACTAATAGCTTTATGTGGATTAAGCTGCCCTTTGGGGCATCTTGGAGGTCCAAGGCACTTTAAATTGGTCCACTTAGGAAAGAGGATGTTTACAGGAAATGACTGTACTTAGCAAGACTGGCAACATAATAGGCATGGCTCAGTGCAAAATAAAAATGAGGGGCCCCTTACTCTGAAATTAAGAATTTCAAGATGGCAGCACAGAGTATTTAACCAAGCTCAGGGTCTTTCTGAGTGCAGCAACACAGTCATATACACATGAAGCTGGCCCTGGTGATGCTCAGACTGGAACTGGCACTCTGACCAACTTAAAGCCTCTTACCTTTCATGAGCTTTGTGACAGCTGTTTCTGTGAGAAGCAACACTCCATTATCGATGTAATGCAGCAGGTTATGCAAAGGGAGACAGTGGACACCCAGGACTAGGTGCAGAGTGTGAAAACCTAGGATAAGAGGGCCAAGAGGGCCAACATGGTCAGTCTGCATCTCCAGCCTTCTGGAGTGAATGAATTCATTGATGTAAATAAAGCACTTAGTTCAGTAATTGACACTTAAAGCCAACTAAATGTTCCTTGAGGATGAAGTCCAAGTTTCTACCTTTGTATTATCAAGACCAAGTACATTGTTGTTGTTGTTGTTAGATGCTGTCAAGTCAGCTCTGACTCACAGCAACCCTATGTGCAACAGAATGAAACACTGCCCACTCTTTTCCCAGTAATATATCAGTGTTTCACTGCTGTTCATAAGGTTTTCACTGGCCAATTCTTTGAGAAGTGGATGGCCCCTTCCTTCTTCTGAGTCTGTCTTAGTCTGGAAGCTCCTCTGAAACCTGTCCACCATGAGTGACCCTGCCGGTATTTGAAACACTGGCGGCATAGCCTCCAGCCTCACAGCAACATGCAAGCCACCACAGTACAGCAAACTGACAAGTGATGGAAGACCAAGTATAGTGCTGGGTATATAGTGAGTTTCCAGTAAGTATGTATTCCCTTCACCTGTGTCCCACCCTAGCTAGAAAGAGAGCAAGGTTTTCACAATGAAAATTGGTCCCACAGTATAAATGTTTGCAATTCTACGCCAAGATGGCAAAAAAAGAACAATTAACTGAAGAGCTTCAGACTCCATTTGCCCAGGCTTAAAGGGAAAATGGGGACCACTTTACTGAAGGGGAAAAAACTGGACCAGATGGGAGTAGTTTATAAAATGACTAAGAAACTAAAAAGAAATATTTTTCAACTTCTATACCCTGGCCCAACCTATGAAGACCCATGTTGTGAATGTTCTTTATATGTCTGATTTCTGAGTGTGGTCTAGAGAAAGGTTTTCAGAATGTCAAAAAAAAAAAAAAAAAAAAAAAACCCAAATGCCCAGCTACCACTGTCAACCACTTGGAGGGGATCTATGTAGGAGACCCTGGATAGAGAGGGAGAACAATGTGGAACAAAACTCAAAATCATTTGGGGAAAAAAAAAAATTAAAAAAAGGGACCAGGTTTGCTGGTCTGATAGAGCTGGTGGAACCACTGAGATTATGGTCCCTAGCTGCCCTTCAGGTCTGGAACTGAAACCACACCTGTGGCTTCCAGCCAAATAAAAGACAGGCATATGAGTTGAACATTTACCTGAGGTAGATACACTCCTTGGAGAGAACAATCATGGGAGAAAGAAGGGCTGTGTATGCACAGGGAGACAGTTCAGGGGGCAGGAGTGCAAAGAGGGATGGACACAGGGAAGAGGAGGTAACTATTGGGAGGAAGTGGAAGGGGAACTGTTGCATTGGGGTAAATTGTAGTCCATGTCATAACACAACATGTGTATAAATTGCTATATGGAAAGTGAATTTGCTCTGTAAACTTTCACCTAAATCATAATTTTAAAAAAAACAAAACCCAAAACTCACTGACATTGAGTTGATTCCAACTCATAGCAACCCCCATTGGTTTTCCAAGGCAGTAAATCTTTAGAGAAGTAGATTGCCCCATCTTTCTTCCGTGGAATGCCTGATGGGTTTGAACTGCCAACCTTCTGGTTAGTAGTCAAATGCCTTAGGCACAATACCACTAGAACTACTTTTAGAGTCTACTTGGACTAAAGTATAGAAAAGAAATGATGAAAATAATATGGCCTGACAGGAAATTTACAAGAATTCAATAGAGAGGTAGATACTCTCTCAAACATCTTATATCAAATCCTAAAGCTCAAAGTACATTCTTAGTAACAAAGGATAAAATTAACATATGCTGGAGAAGATATCAGACTAGGAAGCAATCAGAAAAGTCCTCTTGGAAAAGACAACACTTGTGGGGAGCTCCAAAGGATAAATATTGGCACTGTTAGAACATGTGACAGGGGCTGAGATCATAGACTTATTTTAAGAGAATGCAGAATGACAGCAAGGAATTATAACTTAGACTAGAAGACTTTGGGGAGGCACTGAAGGTTTTAGAGCAGGACAGAGAGAAATAGTTTGAGTTTTACTTTTGGAGTGTTAATATGGCAACAAGCAAAGAACAGACTGGGTAACTGCTGGCTACAAGCAGTACATAGACCTATTGGCCAGTTGTCGTTTAAACCCAGGCCAGTAATGATAAGAACACTGACAGTGAAAGAGGAGGGAAGGGATCAGAGAAAATGGCCATGTGCATTGGCAACTGATTAGATGTGGATGGAAAATTGTGGAGAAGAATAATAGCCTAACGTTATGAGCTTACATGACAGAGGAATGATGCCCAAAGAGCACGGGCTTGGACTAGAAAAAGCACGGAATTTTTCTCTCTCCGCCGACGAATCACAAGCAGTGGGGCAGTCCTAAGTCCTGGCAACACCAAGGGTCAGATAAAGTGCAAACTCTGCCTGAAAGCACTTGTTAATGGGCTGCAAATGAGATGAGTCCACTAGTTTCCCTGAATCCAAAAAACAGGGATTTTATTAGCTAACCAGCAGTATAAAGTTTCCAAATGGATTTTTTGAAATTTGTCCCAAGATTAGAAAAAGTTATGAAATTATTTCTGAAGAAAAGTTTATAATAGATTATTGGTCCTATAGATTTCCTAAGGACCCCTGCTGCTGTGGTGGTTAAGCAGTTGGCTGCTAACAGAGAGGTCAGCAGTTCAAGCCCACTAGCCACTCCAGGGGAGAAAGATGTGGCAGTGTGCTTCCACAGAGATTGCAGCCTTGGAAACACTAGCGGGCAGTTCTGCTCTGTTCTGTAGGGTCACTATGAGTCAGAATTGACTCAACAGCAATGAGCTTTGTAGATTTCCTGGATTCAAAATTCCTTTCCCAGCCCTGTGCCTATGTCCTAAGGACTCCTGGATTACCTCGCCTCTCCACTCTATCTCTAAGGAACAGTCCAAAATGCAGCAGCCCATTCTTGGCCTCCTCTCTGCTTGTCAGCTCTAAGCACCAGAGCAAATTGACTAAAAGTGGGCATCAGTTCTGAATGAGAACACTTTTCCATTCAACTGCAGTTCTCATCTTCCAGCATTTCTAGCCTTCTCTAGCCAGCATGGGGAACACAGGTCCTTTTTAAATAGCAGAGGCTCTAGCTCGAAGTCATGACTTCCTTTTTGTGGTCTCATTCCTATTGTTTTCTTTAACCAATTCAGGTTACAAATTCTGGCACTTGGAACTCAAACAGTTCAGTAGTTTGAGTAGTAGTCTAGTAGTCCTAGAAAACAAGTACACTTACACATCTACACATACAAATACCCTGTATTATACACACAGGCATACAAAAGACCCAGTATCACTCATATCATCCTCACCTTTATTTCCAGGTCACATGAGCACAATGGGTTAAAGCATGTTCCCTAAAATTCGTATCTACCTGGAACCTCAGAATGTGACCTTATTGGGAAGGAGAGTCTTTGCAAATGTAATTAGTTAAGAATCTCAAGATAAAATCACCCCGGACTTAGAATGGGTCCTAAATGCAGCAAATGGTTTCTTTCTAAGAGGAGAGAACACAGAGACACAAGGAGAAGAAGGCCATATCACAAGCCATTACATTTACTGTAACAGTAATTCTCAATCACTATGTGTAACATTTTGCTATGTTGTCCCTCCTTAGCCCTGTGAAGAAATGAAAGTTCTACAGAAAGTGGATTTTGATGATCTTCCAGGCATAGTATTGTCTCTAGTAAGTTTCATTTACTAATAACAGGGCCTTAAACATCCATGGTAGGCAAATCTGAAATTATCCATTCATTCTTCTATTAAGTTTTTGTGTTAATGACATCTAGAATTAAAGCCAGAAAATCATAGACAGTTTCATGAAATCCCTTCACATTTTCTAGAGGGCACCTCATAATTCATATTTCATTGGGACAACCTAAAGCCATTCTTCCCTCATGAATGGTCACTTTGAGATCCCTACAAAGTTAATATTAACTTCTTTTGTGCCTCTACCTACAAACAAACCTTATAAAATAAGGTGTAGAGATGGAGGAATCAGGAAGAATACTAAACTGCACTAGATACGTCACAAATGCAAAGAAGCTGAGACGTGCTGTGGGAATTCTCTGGGCCCATAAATAATCCATGTTTCAACATCAACCAATTGAAATAGAATATAAAATTCAAGAGGCAGCACAGGAAAAGTAGTTCAAAGCACATCATTTGGAATCAGATGGCCTGGACTTGAATACTGGTTCTGTCACTTGATAGCTGTGTGATTTAGGCAAGTTACTTAACCTTTCTGTGGCTCAGAAAGGTCATAAAATGGGAACAATTATTAGGTGGACCCATATGAAAGTGCTATTTTTATTAATCAAAAAATGGTTGTATGTTGATAATTTAATATGGTTCAGTCTAAGTTCCTACAACTTTTGAGTTATTATGAAATTAAATGTGTTAATTTATGTGAAGTACTTAGAACAAAATGATTATGATGTGTTAGCTTAAAATAAACAAATGATGGATGGATGGTTGGATATGAATGAATTAATTAAATAAAAACAACTTATATATATTATATAGTAATAGGTATCAGAAAGTGGGACACTTATCAGAACTTATATATAATAAACACAAGGCAGATAGTTTATAGAGCAGGAACTTATTTATTTCTTATAATGAATACAGATTTATATGCACATCTTCCCAACTAGACTTTTGTTAATCTTTGTAACTGCTCTAATTTCTAGCATAGTACATGGCACATGATAGTTCCTCAACAAATACTTGTTGATTGAATGAATAATTAAATGACACATGTCCCAATGTTGCTCTGAGGCCTGACCTGATCCTGTTTCAGAATCCTAAGGGAAATTTTTTCTCTTCCGAGCATGTAGGAATTAAATAAATTCTTGACACCCAGCCAGACCTGCTTCCTTTTAGCATGTTAACTTTAAGACATCTCAATCAGCTAAACAAGGCCAGGAGACATCAGAGAAAGTGAGCTCTAGGCTTGTCCTATATCAGCACCACTGGTTCAAATTATCCCTAGAAAGGTTCATGGAACCAACTTATGCTCCCTAAAGCTAGCTCCAAGGTATGGTACAGTTTAATAGGGGAGATCTGGTCACAGAGACTCAATTTCAGTCTGCCTCTCACCAGACATGCAACTTCTCACACACAGGAGTTCTCATCATTAAATTCATGATGTGCCAAATCTAGGAGTCATGTGAAGAAGTAAAAAAAAAAAATCGATTACTACAAATTATAAAAGAGATAAGCTTACCAGGAGGCAAAGGTAAAAACAAACTCTCGGTAGCTTCCAAAATCCTGGTCATGAGGTGAAAGACAGCAAATTCAGCAGCACTGCCATGCCTATCACTGTAACAGTACAAAGCAGCATGTCAACCAAGGAACTCATGGTTAATCACCCATCTGTCCCAAGCAGTACCCCTAAGTACCATGTGGGGGCTTTCATGTCAACCACAAAATGCTATGCCCTGTAGAAAGCCTCATAAATATGACAACAACCATCAGCCCAGTGCCTTGAGTCTAACCAGACAGTAGGCACATAAATTATAAATTATGTTAATTTAAGTTCCCCTGAGTGGCAGTACTGTACTCATGTGTCCCTCTGCCATCATCAACTGTATATCAGTGAAGGATGCTGGGTGAAATAATGGTCCTAACATGAGAGGCTGTATACATGACTAAGATAGATGGGGCTGGGCTGGTAAGAATAGCTTTGAACTGGTATGTTTAAAAAAGGTTTGGCTAAAACAGGTAGCAATCAGGGCTAGGTTGGCTCTTCGTACACATGATAAAGAGAGGAAGAAATACTTGCGTACAAGTGTAGAACCCAGGAATGAAGATTATGTTTCCTCCAACTGGTTTCCAGTATGCAGCAAATGAGATCCAGCTAGAGGGAAATAAGTCAATCACAGAAGAACAAATAAAATATTAGTTCACTATTGTAAAAAGTCAAAGAAACGTTTATATATGGAAAGAAATTTTCTTTGTTGGTTACCAGGAATGGGAGGAGAGAGGAGGGAACACTGCTAGACAGGTAGAGACAAATATTGATTTGGGTGAAGGGAAAAGCAATATACCAAAAGTGAGTGACCAACACAGTAACACTAAGGAAAAGGAAGACACAGAGAAGTCCACAAGAGGTACAGACAAAAAAGACAAACACTTTTACATATACAATATTGTGTTATCAGTGATAACAAACATTAATCTACAGGTAAATAGATGGGTACACAGGCAGAATGATCAGGTATGTCTAGGCAAAAGGGAATATACCCTGACCATTTATAAGGTTGGCAGATGATATTTCTACATATGTATTTGTATGTGTTGTAAGAATGTCCATATAATTAGAACTAACAGGGGGCAAAGTTATGATAACTTCTTAGACACAGTCAACTACCTGATGGAGCAAGTTGTTGGACCTGTGGGCTAGGGACCGTGGTCACAGGGGACAACAAGCTCAATTGATATAACATACTACACAAAGCATTGTTCTACATTCTACTTTGGTGAATAGCAATTGGGGTCTTAAAAACTGGCAAATGGCCATCTAGATACGACGATGGGTCTCTCCTCATCCAGAGCAAAGAAGAATGAAGAAAACCAAAGATGCATGGAAACAATTAGTCCAAGGGAATAGCAGACCATGTGAACCTCAGCCTATATGACCATGAGACCAGAAGAAGTAGATGGTGCCTGGCTACCACTGTCAACCACTTGGAAAGGGATCAGTACAAGAGATCCTGGATAGACCGGGAGAAAAATGTGGAGTAAAATTCAAAATCATTAAAAAAAAAAAAAAAAAAAAAGGCCAGGTTTACTGGTCTGAAAGAACCTGGTAAGACCCCCAAGACTATGGCCCCTAGTTACCCTTCAGGTCTGGAATTGAACTCACTCCCGTGGTTTCCAGCCAAATAGGCAAATAGGGTGAACATTTTCACCAGGTAGATACATTCCTTAGAACAAACAATAATGGGAGAACAGAAGGGCAGTATTTGCATAGGGAGATAGCTCAGGAGGCAGAAATGCACAGGAAAGAAGGACACAAGGAAGAGGTAACTACAGGGAGAAAGTGGGAAGAGAGCTGTTACATTGTGGAGAATTGCAGTCCATGTCATTGCAGTGTATAAATTACATGATGTGGCTTTTCTATCCATAGTATTTGTAACTCCCACTTTGCTGTGAGTAACTGCTTGTTAAAGTCATCCACATGGAGCAACACAAAGCAATTTTCTGGGAATTTCACTCTCTTGTTGTTGTTGTTGTTATTTGCTGTTGAGTCGGCCCCGACTCATAGCGACCCCTCCTTGGGTTTCCGAGGCAGTATCACCACGGAAGTAGGATTGCCCAACCTTCCTTCCGAGGAGTGGCTGGTGGGTTTGAACCGCCAGCCTTCTGGTTAGCAGTCAAGTGCCTTAGGCACTATGCTACCAGAGCTCCCATTATTATTATTATTATTATTATTATTATTCACTCTCTAGGGTGTATAGAATTCTGACACTGAGATTGATTAGTTTGGCCACTCTGCCAGGCTCAAAAGAAGCCCTCCTAGAGGCAGAAGGAGTCACTCTCTGACTGCTGGCTGAGAAAGACATGCTGCTGAGAGATGTGAGAGAGATAGGCTGCTGAGAGAGAGAGATGTGAGGGACATGTACTGCTGAGAGAGAGACGTGCTACAGAGAGAGACTGAGAAAGATTGTCGGCTGAGAGATGGCTGGCTGAGAGAAACTGAGAGTGTTCCTGAACTTGAATTGTAGCCTGTTGCTTCCCCAGTAAACCCTATAATCTGTGAGTTCTGTGTGGCCACTGCAGTGAATTATCAAACCCAGCAGAGACGTGGTGGGTGCTATGGGAGGAATAGTTGGTGTCAAAGTTAGTGAGAAGGCTGGAGGGTGGCGGCATGTCTGGCCTCAGAGAAGCAGGCATTGGGCTGCGGATGGTGATTCTGTCCTCCTCTTGAGTAGTTAGAGAAGGTCGGAAGATGTGGCCTCCTTGCCCCTTTAGCAGTCATGAAACAAAATGTATATGAACTTTAGAAAATTAATTTGCTTTGTAAACTTTCACCCAAATCACAATTAAAAAAAAAAAAGAGGGAGAGACCCAGCTACAGGGTAAGGACAGTTGTTAACCTCTGCTTGCGCCTTTCGTGACCCTTCAGTGGTCCTTCCACAGCTCTGACAGGCATATTCAAGGAAGTGGGCAGTGAGGCTGCAGCTAGCACACAGACCAGCCTTCTAGAGGTCATTTCTGAGGCACTGGCAACCAAAATGGAAAGAGTGAACATGTGCACAGAGTCTAACAGAGCACACTCTGTCCGTGGGGAGTGTCCCCCACTGAGCTACCCCAGCTGACTAACTGGTTCCGCAGGCCCTTGTCCATCAGTGAAGGTCAAGTGCTGCTGGGTTTTTCTCCAGGGCTTTGAACTGGGCCATTCCAGTTGACCCCAGCTGAGAATTTGCTTTTCCATCCCAGAAATACTGAATGAGGATCTACAGTTTAATAAGTTCCTCAGGTGATTCTTATGTATACATAAGATCTTGTTAAACTATAGATTCTGATTCAGTATATCTGAGGTGGAAGTGCAAATTCTTAGTATAGGGCCAAACTGGAATGAACCCATTCTAAGTCCTGGTTTTCTCTAAGCCTGTTACTCAACAAGGCCTAAAATCGGCCAGTCAGAAGAAAGAAGACACAGAATAGAATGGATGGCAAGGGTGTGGGCTGTGGAGTAAGACTAGTTTCAAGTTCAAGCTCTACATTTTACTAGATGTATTATTGTTTATGTTGTTATGTGCCATCAAGTCAGACCCGACTCATAGTGACTCCTCCTTGGGTTTCCAAGGCAGTATCACTATGGAAGTAGATTGCCCAACCTTCCTTCCGAGGAGTGGCTGGTGGGTTTGAACCACCAGCCTTCTGGTTAGCAGTCAAGTGCCTTAGGCACTAGGCTACCAGAGCCCCTACTAGGTGTATAACCCTAGACAAGCTCCCTTTCCTCTCCAAGTCTTGGTGTCCTCATCTGTAATATGAGGGAACAGACACCTAATAGGGTTATTGTAAGAATCAATTCGCGTAATGATTGTAATAGACATGGTTGATAAATCATAATCATAGTCAACCAAAGTTGATAGGCATCTTTGCCTTAAAGCTTTATCCAGAAACCCAGTCCAGTTTTGCAACAAATTTGTCAGCAGAAGGGCAGTCCCCACAGAGCTGTTATATACCATGAATCCATGCATTGCACCTGGAGGCTAAGGAACCTTGCCAAATCAGAATGGGTCTCCACAGGTGTACAGGAAAACACTATCCGTCCTCAGTGATAGAGTTGCTCAGTTTCTCTTTGGCCAGAGTCACATAGATAACACAAACAATATAAGCAGGTTCTGTAGTAACTTCCTTGGATTCATTTTAGAAAGGCTGTCCAGCCAGCTTCCTTAGCGGGAAGTATGAGACATGCTGGTTACTGGGCAGGGGCAGGGGCAGGCAGATTTGTCTCCAGCAGTTACTGCTGTACCAGGAAAGTCAGTGACACTGAGCTGAGAACACATCTCTACCCTGCCAGTCCCATGAGTTCTAGCGGTTGTTAACACAAACATGAAAGTGTTCAAACCTTTGTATGACTAACAAGGAGGGAGAATGATGCTTGAAATGAAACCCTCTTACTACTCAGGAAGGTGAGATTGAAAGTCAACAGTAGGTATGTTAAATAGTTGTGTGTTATTAGTTAAAAGATAAAGAAAGTGAGTTCCTATCAACACTGGGGAAGAGCAGCAATGCATTCATGGGATGAGCTCCTCAGTACAGGTCTACTGGGAAGAGAATTATTTAAGGAAGATTCAATGTCCGATCATAAATATCAGTATTTGAGAATATCAACCTCTCCTAATACAATGAAGGTTATACGAATCAAACCTTACTACAGAGATTCAATGATATGATTACTTAACAACAGTCACTAATGACTGCAATAAAGGCATGAAATTTTCACATTAAATGCCAAAAGATTAAATCAGGGTCATTTCTAATTAATTTAACAAATCTTCAAGAGTTTAGTATAAAAAGGAGGCGGGGCAAGATGGCGGACTAGGCAGAAGGATTGCACAGACCCTCTTCAACAAAGAAAAGGGAAACCAATTAACACAGACACAGAA